TCTTTGCTCTGTTGTAAATCTGCTTGTCATTTTGTCACTGCATTGCAATCATGTTTTATATATTCTAGGCATCTAACCCTTCCAGATGCAGTAAACATTTATAAATCAATACACAGCAGCAAGACTATCAGCTGGGGTGACCCTCTGACAAACTTAGCACCCCGGGCCCTCCAGGACCTCCTAGGACCTCCTGCCTGCCCACTAGCTTCTCCTAAGTGGGTGGCCCCATGTCTTCTGTCCAGCTTTGTCATAGACTATGTGGTGTCTGCATTGGTGTCCCAGTGCCCTCTGCCCCTTGGAATAGGTTTAGAAGAAGGTTTGCAGGTGGCACAGAGTGGGACTGCATAGTCCCCACCTGCATCCCCAGGTAGGGGTGACAACCAAGTCTTTATACCATGCCTGCCACCTCTGTCACCTCCGTATCAGACCCAGCCAGACCATCCCAGGCTCAACGTGCCCCACAGACCCTGACACCATCTGTCAAAGAGACACTTGACAAGCTCAGCATGGTGGCATGCAGCCCTAATCCCAGCACTCAGGAGGCTGAGACAGGAGGATCGCTGGGACTTTGAGGACAGCCTGGGCTACAGAGTGAGTTTAAGGCCAACCTGAAACTACATAACAAGATCTTATCTCAAAACACCAAAAAAAGAAAAATAATTAAATATCTATATCTATCTATATCATCTCTATCTCTATCTATCTATCTATCTATCTATCTATCTATCTATTAAACTCCCCCCCAAAACTACTCACCGTGCCTGTTGTCCCCAGAATAAAGCCCACATTCCATGTTCTAGGCCAGGGCTCCCACATCCTTCCCTCCCACCTCTGCCTCCTCCTCCAGGAAGCCTGCCTGGAGCCTCCTGGCTAAAGCAGCCACTTCCTGTGTGAGGGCTCTGGTTGGCCGGGAGCCCAGGGGCAATGGGCACAATGGCCTGTGGTATCCGGGCATCACATACAGGATAAGTCTCCACAAGGACACCGGGACATCCTCACAGCACAGCAGCAACTACACAGGAGTGGAGACACAGCAGACAGCGTGTGTGCCCGACAGCCACTGTCCCTTCATAATCTGGCCCTGGCGGTCCACCCTGCCCCATCTTGTTGCTCCCACAGCCTGAGCTCAAGACAGGAGATGCAGAGTCCCCAGGAAGGGCCAGGCACTAGGAGAATGATGGGGCAGGAAGGGCACCCTCCTGGCACCCAGCTGGAGCCAGCTGGAGGCTCCGCAGCCAGATGACACACGCAAAGCGCCTGCTGCATTCAGCCAACCCTCGCAGCAGTCAGGAAGGAGAAGTCATTAAGAACCCACAAAGGAACAAAGGCATCGTCTGCCTGTGCCCTCCCGGCATTCTGAGCCCACAGCCTCCTGGTCAGGCCCCGTGGCCACCACGGCTCTGTGTGGTGCTAGCTCACACCAGTCGGAGGGGCATGCCGGCTCGCGAGGCAAACTGAGTCGGGGGGGGGCGCAGCCTGCTGGGACGCAACTGCACACAACACAGAGCCACCGGCAGCCCTGAAGCTTAGGTCAGCCTGTCTGGTGGGAGAAGCCTGCGGGCGGGCATCCAGGCCTATTTGGGGGGTGCAGTGTGGATTTAGGCCCTGCCACATGCCGGCCAGTGGTTCTGGACAGGTTCCTTTGCCACCCTGTACCTCAGTTTCCCTGTCTGTGAATGAGATTAAGAGGCTTGTGGTAAGGAGTCACTGGGTCACCACCTACCTGGCAAAGGTTTAATAAGCAGGTTTCTGAAGAGATCCAACAGGGAGGGAGCAAGTGACACCTCTGTTGCACAGGAGGGCAAACTGAGGCCCCCTGAGCTGGAGCGTGCTCATGAGCTGCAAAACTGGGACTCACACACACCCCTTCCTCCACCTCATTTATTTATTTTTGAGACCCAGTCTTGCTATGTAGCCCAGAATGGCCTCAGACTTTCTGTGATTCTCCTGCCTCAGCCTCCCAAGTGCTATCTGGGGTGATAGCATGCACCTGGCTTTCTCTTTTTTACTGAAGTTATTTTTCTCCACTCAGCCTAGTAGCTGGGGCTCCTCCTCCCCCGGATCAACTGAGCAAACAAAGGCAGCAGTGAGCCCTTGCTGGGAGGTGGGGACCCTGCCAGAGGGAGGGGCGAGAAGCAAGGTTAGGCCAGGTCAAAGCTTCTGATTTCCGCCCTGATGCGATTACATTAATTATCATCCCAGCCTTGCGCCTACCCTGGTCAACAGGCCAACAAGCCTGTGGATTAAGCTCCCCCCAGCACAGCCTTCTGGCTCCCAGCACAGGGAGCCCAAGGCCACACCACCACGTGGAAACTGGGACATGCACCCCTCTCTCTCTGCTCCCTGGCTGTCACGACTGTCACGGTGAGGGCCTCAGAGCCCTGGAAAGGGACTGCAAGAGGAGCTCTGAATGAACAAAAGTGGGGCCTTGGGTGGGGGCTAGGGAGCTAGGGGAGGGTCTCAGACCTGGGGTATAAGTCAGGGTGGGATCACAGGACACCCCCCTTTGCCCCTGCAGCTGTCTCACTCCCCCACTCCAGTTCAGATTCTGCCTCATCCACAGAGCTGTTTTCTGGTGTCTGTTACTTGCTGCCTCAGTATCCTCCAGCAGTCAGTGGAGAGGTAATCAGCCGGCTTGAGCAAATGCGGCCCTGTACTGGCCCGCTCAGTAGTGGGCAGTGGGCAGCTGTGCACTTCAGGCACGGCTGGGGCCAGGTGCCGAGCCTGGCTCTGCCTTCTTAACCCTAGGCTCTGCTGCTCCTACACCTTCTTCCTGTGTTGACTTAAGGGTAGCCTAGGCAGAGGAGACTCAGGATACTCGGGATGACAGCAAGATTGTAGCGTGAGACAGCGCTGGCACCATTCCACCTCCTGCCTCACAAGGTCACTGAAGGGTGCAGGCAGAAGGGGAGGGCCAGACCCAAAGGTCCAGCGACAGACAGGAGGGAGTGGGATTCTCACAGCAGTCTTTGGAGGGCCCATAGGTGTGAGGTGGCCATTGTCCCCAGCATAGGCACAACCTGTCCCACAGGTATACAATGTACATGAAATGCTATTGTGTACCTCATAGCCACAAGAACACATGGAAGGAGACACACACTGACAGAGGCCTAATATGGGATCAGAGTGGGGGGAGACAGATCCTAGCCTGGGGTCACAGAGGAGTCCAGAAGCCGTCATGTTGCACTTCTTGGATCTGGGATGCCAGGGACCAGAATGATCTGGATCCTAGGAACTGGTATGGGAAAAGGGCAAAGGGCAGAGCCTTTCCCCAGGGGAGGCCCAGAGAGCGTCCCAGAGGAGGTGCCACCTGCCTAGGTATGGAGCAGAAACGTGGGCTCAGTATGTCTCGGTCAGGTTGCAGGATCTGGGTAGGACAGCTCGTCAGGGTGTCCTGTGCTTCTTGGGGTATCCACAGTACTGTGAAGAGGGCACTGATAACCATTCTGGGCACCCCGACCTGCTGAGCCTGAGGTCGGGTCCCAACCCAGAGTGAGAAGGGACTTCCTACTTCAGGCTCCTGCCACCTTTCCAGAATTTAAGGCAAAACTCTTCTCCAGTGATTACACAGCAAAGCAAGTAGACCTCCACCCCCGCATCCCCGAAACACCTTTATTGCACTAAAAACAGCGTTTATAAACAAACACATTAGAGGGCGGTGTCTGAAAGATTCACCCACAGTCAACTGCAAACACAAAGATATCAAACAGTACACAGATATATAAAACAGGGAACCCTCATCCTAGGGAGAATACAAGGTGGGGGTCCTCACCAGAGAAGGGAGGTGGCCACGAGCTCCAAGCATCCAGCTCCATGCAGGGCCTGTGGTCTGCTCCTAGACTCCAGAGGGGAGGGGACAGGCACATACAGGGTCTGGGCCCAGCCGTCACAGGGCACAGGTGACTCATAGGTGCGCAGCGGGAGTGGCAAGCTCCCTCCCAGCCTGGGGAATCAGTTCTACACCCTGCCTTGGTGGAGTACAGACATCAGGTTGAGAAGAAGAGACCCAGTGAAAGGGGTGACAGCCAAGTGGGGGACAGCCAGAGGGAGGTCACTGCCCCACAGGGCTGCCCTCCCCAGTAGGCAACTTGCCCTCCTGCGACTCACAGAGTTTACGAAAAAAGCCCAGAAATCATTCAAGGACTCAACTAACCAACAGCAAAACCCAATCAGCTGCCTGACTCAAGGAAAAACAGAACCAGAACCAGGCCTAGCCTGGCCCAAGGTGATCCCACTGAGCCTCCATAACCAAGCCCTATTTACACAGGTCAGGTTGGGTAAAGGCCAAGCTGGGTGCTGGCAGGAGGGAACAGAGGGTCCCCTGATTGCTGCACAAGGCCTCCTATCAAAGCCGCCCCCCTCTCCCCATCTCCCCACACTCCTGGGTCTAGCCTGGCAGACACATGTCCCCCCCCATCAAGAGCTGGGTCTGGATGTCATGGTGCTCCTGAGCCCCTTGCCTCTGATCCCAGAGGTCAGGGCTGCCCAGAGCCCAAGGAAGGGAGGTGTCATGTGGTATCACCAGCCCTTGAGGCCTCAGGGCACAGCAGGCTGGCACAGCGGGGGGGGGGGACCTGGGAGAGCAACTGTGCCACAAAGGAGTAAGTTGAGCTCAGCCCCAGGCCTTGGGAACTGGCCTCTAGGTCCCTGCTGCCTCAACCTCCTGGATTCTTGGACTCCTGAAGACCTCTGTCCCCAGCTCTGTGTAAAAAAACAGGGTGGTGGAGTGTCAGTGGTCCACAGGAAATGGTCAGCCCTGCCAAGGCACCCGCCTTGTCCCTGCTTCCTCTTCCTCCAAAAAGATCCATTCGTGAAAAGTGACATTCCATTTACACTGGTCCCCAGGATACCCCAGGGCCAGCCACAGGTGGCACAGCGCCAAGCCCCATTGAGTTGAAGCCCATCTCCTCACCCAGCCCAGGCCCCTAGTGACCAATCTGCCCCGGCTGGTGTGCAGGAGACCCAGTGCCCCTGTGCCTCCTGGGGAGGAGCGGGCAGCCTCACAGGAATGGCAGCAGCGAGGTGAGGGGCAGCTCCTTCTCCCCAAGCAGTGTGTCCCGCTTCAGGCTGCTGCCCTTATTCACCACCTTGATGCGGAGGGAAAGCTTGCGCACGCTAGCTGGCCCCAGGCCATCGAAGAAGAAGTCCTCGTTGAAGACCGGGTGGCGGCTATTCTTGATGATGGTGCTGCGCTGCTTCTGAAGCTTGCCAGGCACCAGACACAGGCCCACGCAGCAGTTGATGCTGCGGGCATCCCAGGTCCGCTCGTACAGACCCTCTGCCACCAGCAGGCGCACGCGGAGCCGGGCCTGGGCTGCCTCGTACTCGGCCAGCAGGCGCACGCTGCCCCGGGGCCCCACGTGCACCGTGTGCTCCCCTCGGGGTGCCGCGCCAGCCTCTGGGCCCGGTTCCGGGGTGGGCCGGCGGTTCAGGCGGCGGCGGACACCGGGGCTGGTGTCGGGAGTGCTGTCGTCAGCCGAAAGAGAGCCGTGGCGGCCCACTGAGTGCTTTAGCTGGCTCACCTTGGCCTGGCCATCCTGCGCAAAGCCTTTGAGCAGGGACACAGAGCGCGACAGCAGAGGAGACCCAAATGGGGAGGACTCGGCTGAGGAGCCCGTGTCACTCTCCCCGCCACTGAAGTAGCGGCCGGGGCTCATCAGGCCCCCTCCAGCCTCCTTGGGCCCCCCCTCCGCCCCGTTGGCCCTGGCACCAGCCCGCCGGCGCCCTGCTCCTGGGGAGCCCACCTGGGCCAGGGCCCCGTGCTCACTGTGGAACAGGGACTCCTTGCGCCGCGTGTGGGGGCTCTCAGCCAGCGTGGCGAAGCCATAGGATGTCTGGGCCTTAGGCACCGAAGGCAGGGACATGGAGTCCGGGGCCTCGTCCGCTGGCCAGTCCTCGGCACTCTCAATCTGGATGACATGTCGCGTGGCTGCCTTCAGCAGGCTCCTGCTCTCCGCAGCCAGTTTCGCGGGCAGCCGGGGGCTGCGGGGGCTGCGGCGGGGGGACGCGGCCAGATTCTGCTCGGATGGGGACGGACCCAACTCAGCCGGTCCCTCAGCTTCTGCGGGGCCCGAGGGCAGCTTAGGGGGAATGAAGAAGTCCGGGATCTTGTCGGGAGTCAGCACATTGCTGTATAGGGGGCCCTTGGCGGCCTTATCCCCTGCCTCGCCCCCCGCAGCGCGGGAGCCATCCTCCCCTGACCCGCGGAGCCGGTCCAAGAACCACATGTTGGTTTTCCTCATGGGGCCGAAGGGTCAGAGAGCAGAAGGGGACACAGCGTCTAGGGAGAGAGGCGGGGAGGGGTCAGGATGGGCCGGGTTAGTGCGCGTGGGGGAGGGCCACTCGCAAGTGCCCTGAGGGTCTGCGCCGACCCAGAACCCGCCTGCGGCTTTTCCCCTTCCCAGAGCGACCGAACTAACTTCTCAGCAGGGGCAGAGCGGGGCGCAGTGGTGGGGGCAGATTTAGGGAGAGCCCAGCGAGGGGGTGAGGAGGCGGGGAGGCAAGGAAGCCAGTAGGTGAGGAGGCGCAAGCCCCAGGGGGCAAAACCCCAGGCCCGCCCCTCGCTCATCTCCCGGGTAGGGGGACCCTGATTCCTACGGGGTTGCACGCCCAGAGCCCAGGGGCGCAGGTGTCCCGGCCCCGCCCCCGGCGCCCGCCCACCTGTGGCTTCTCCGAGGCGCTGGTGGGGGAGGAGCGCGGCCGGGACCTGAGCGGGCACCGCGTCGGTTCCTGGTGCCCAGAACCCGACCCGACCCCACCCGCCGCCCGCAGCGGGGTCCCGGCCTGGCTCACCTGTCTCGGCTCAAGACGCTGTGCTCACGCAGGCCCGGCGGCTCCAGGCGCCTCTGAGCGGACAGCGCCACAGCCAGGCCCCGCCCACCGCGCCGACTGGGGCGGGGCCGGAGCCGGGCGTCCACACAGGACAAGGCTGGGCCTCGGAGCCCTGCCGGGGGCTACTGGCATCTGTGCCCTCTGCGACCCCAGCAATGCTGTTCCGGGACAGTGTCCTGATCACCCTTCCCTCTCTGATCTTAGGCCACCCGGCAGGTCCAGTGCTGTCCCCATCTGCAGATGAGGGAGATTCCTCTAGAGGTAAGGACAACCCCAAAGCCTGGTCCCAGTCCCCCAACATCCTTCAGGAGCACTGAGGTCCAAGGTATAGGAGTGCAGCCGAGAGGGAGAAGTCCCCATGCCACTCACAGGCACAGAACCAACTCGGACCGGGCCATGGCCCTGCCAGCTGCCCCAGTGAACTCCAAGCCAGCCTCAGTTTCTCCTGGACCGGAGAGTCAATTGCTCGTCCAGGGTGGTACATGAGAAGCTACTGAGACGACTCAGGCACCTGGCCATTTATTAAGGTTTGGCTGCGAGCCTCTGATGTCCTAGGAGAGTTCCCACGTCACGTTGAGGACCGAGCTAAGACAGGGCCTGGATGGAGAGCCCTAGATTGTGAGGCCAGGATGCGGCAGAAAGGTAGATGGGGCCAGAGAGGATTGTGGTCCAGATGGGGAAATCGTGGCAAACTGGAGCCATGATGCCCCAGAGGGGCTTTTGTGCCGATGGTCTGGGTGACAAGCACTTGGAGGCCCAGAGCAGTGGCTGGCTGGTGTCCCTGTCTCTTTAGGGCCCAGAGCCACTAGGTGGGAGGGTCATAGTGGCCCCTCTCTGCAGTGTGCCGAGGCCAAGCCACGCACCCTGTACACAGGTACTCTAGAGCAGAGCAGGGAGGCGCCCAGGGCTCTCTCCACTGCTCAGGCAGAGGTTGAGACTGGGAGGGGCAGGGCCAAGTCTTGTGATGCCATGCCTAGGCATCAGGGCCTGGATACCAGTGGTGGAGTGGCATGCAGCTGAGTGTATGTCAAGACACTAGCCTGGAGCTGCTCAGCCAGGGCGGGACTCCCATGCCCACATTGCCAACTGTGTGACTTTCTGAGCCCGTACACACTGTGAGAATGACAGACCCTTGGGTCAGTTTCCCAGGTGCCTGTAGAGTCCACAGCATGCTTTTGAGGGAGACGTGCTAGACACTGTGGCAAGTAAGCAAAAGGTGGTACCTGGACCCCCAGAGCCCTGACCCCACACCCAGCTCAGCCTGTGCCTCCCTTTCCTACAGCCCCATGCATGAGGGTGCCCTGGGTCCAACGCCTGCCCTGCTGGTCATGTGACCCACTCTGGGGCCCAGCTTTCTGTCTAACTGCTCTGCACAGCAGCCAGCAAACAGGAGCCTCCCAGGTCAACAGAACCTTCTCTTCCACTGCATGGCGGGCACCTCCAGCATGTCCCATGCAGCCCTCCACAAATCAGACATCAGACAGCACAGTGGCTGGCAGCTGACATTTCAACATCCCTGAGTCCTGCCACCACATACAGGTGGCATCAGCCTTGGTCCCCAGGCAGGGCCATTGGGTTGGCCCTCCCACAGGATGGCCCCAGCAGTGCTAGCACAGGCTGTAGGAGGCACAGGCAGCTGACAGAGCAAACTGCCTGTGTGCCACCCTTTGTCCCTAAGAACCTGGGGGAAGGTGATCATTGGGGGCTTTCTGGGTTCCTGCATCATAGGCCCTCACTTGGGACTATGCTTAGCTGCTGACAGCCACTGTCCTCTGCAGTTTCCCACAGCACAGGGGCTCCTATCCCTGTGTGCAGGGGCTCAGGGGCCCCTGAGCTGCCCTTTGCACAGGGACCAGTGAACAAGGGATTCAGAAGGAATAGGGAAGGGGCTATGACGCCTGAGCCTCAGGACCCACAAGAATGAATGAATGAAGTGAAATGCACCCCTCTCTTCCCACATGTGCCACTACCTGACACCTGCCCCACGCTCCCTCAGCTGGGCCACAGCACAGCTTCCCAGCCCCGTCCTCCTCTGATCCCATCAACATTGTCCTTTCCGCCTGAGACTCTCCTTTGGGAGTGAGCCTTCATCCCCCCCTCCCAATGCTTAAAGACCTGGCAACTCCCAGGCACCAAACCTCACCTCCAACAATGGCCATCCCTGTGCCCATGCCCTTCTGCCACCCGTTCCCTGAATGTGCCAGACTCCACACACCATGGGGTCTCTGCACATGCCATGGCCCTCCCATCGTGGCCCCCATTTCATTCCATAAAGAAATCCTTCAGATGTCCTAAGTTCTCTGAGTTCTAGGACCCTTTCCTTTTGCACAGTGGTTACTACACACCCCGTGGTGATCTGCTGATCAATGTCACTTGACTGTTAACTCCATGGAGGCAGGTCCGTCTCGGGTCTGTTGCCCACCAGAGTCCTGGCAGTAAGAGTGCTTGGCGCAGGCGTGGTACAGGATGGTGAGAAGAGTATGTGTGCATGTGTGTGTGTGTGTGTGTGTAGGGGTGATGATGGATGCATGGGTGTGTGAAATAGTGAATGGAAGGACGGATGGATGGGTGGGTGGGAGTACAAGAGTGAGAATAAATAATAGCTAGATGGGCAGATAGCGGACGGATGAGTGGATGGATGATGAAGGGATAGGTAGACTGCTGGGTGGGTGAACAAATGCTTGATGCACGTGTGAGTTAACAGTGGGTAACTGGGTGGCTGTCAGTCTCCACATCTCTGAAGACGTGGTGTCAGAGTCCTCTGGCTCTGCCTTTGAAGGTTTCACTCGTCCAGGGCACAGTATGGTGGCTTTTCCTCCCATGCTCTGAGTGGATGCCAGCCCCAGGACATGGAGCAGGGCCCGCTGCCTAGAGAGGTAGCACGGTGCCTCCCCGAGGTCTAGACCTGGGCCACCTCACCCTCCACACATGTAGCCCAGCAAGGACATAGCAAGGAGAAGGGCCCCTCTGGGGAGACAAAGACTGAGAAGTAACTGAAACACCGAAGTTGGGGTGCTTGAGAAGAAAGCTGAACACTGGGGAGAAGTGGGGGGCCTCCAGCCTGGCTGTTAGAGAGGACAGGAGAGGCAGCTGACTGAGCTGGAAGGTCACACTTAGGGTGAGCTGGAGCATGTTCTGTTTCTGAGACAGGGTCTCATGATGTAGGCTGGTCTTGAACTTGTGGTGACCTCCTGCCTAGTGCTGGGATGACAGGAACACACCCCACACCCAGCTAGAGTTGGGGCAGCTTGAGGAGCAACCCAGGAGCTTCACCAGCAACACAGGATTTGGGAGGTAAACCAGGGTGTCTCAAGGAGAAGTAGGGGTGCCTTTAGCAGGAACTGAAATAAAACAGAAGTCGGGCGTGGTGGTGCACACCTGTAACCCAGCACTTGGGAGGCAGAGGCAGGAGGCTGGCTGAGAGTTTGAGGCCAACCTGGGCTGCAAAGTGAGGCCTGAACTGTATAGTGAGACACTGTCTCAAAAAGGGGAGAGAGAGAGACAGAGAGAGAGACAGACAGAGACAGAGAAAAAAAAAGAACGAACAAGAGAAAAGCAGTCTGAGGGAGCTGGGGTTCTGGGGGGAGGGCTGGCCCCTGAGGCTCAGCACCGCCCTCCTGCAGCCCCCAGCCACTCCTGGGATCTCCCTGGAGGCCTCCACCAGTCCCGACCCTGCAGGCCCCCATGTGCAGTGGGCTGTGGTCAGGCCGTCATCACGCCCAGGTTTAATTATAAACAGACCCAATGTCCAGTCCAGTGTGCAGTCAGAGGGCAGACAGGGACCTCCCAACCACCCAGCGTCCTAACCTGGAGCAGCTGAGGGAGGCCTCAGGACTGCCCCCCATAACATCAGCATGTGCCCTGGCCTAAGACCCCCAAAGCACCTTAGTTCTCCCCCCCTCGCAACAAGACAGTGAGCACCTGATTTCTCAGGCGGGCAATGGAGTCCAGCCAGGGCAGGGCCCACATGGGCATAGTGGGGCAGGGACCCTCCCTTCCAGGGACATAACTCAAGTCCATCTGGGGAGGAGGACATGGTATCTCTGCCCATCATAGAGCCAGTGGGGCGAGACCAGGCAGGGCTGCACCCCCAAGTGTCTGTTTTGAAGGTAAGGAAGGCTCTGTCTTTGGTATGAGTGCCTGGCTCAGTGCAGGACGGCAGGCATAGGCAGGAAGGGATGCCCGAGGCTCCCATGGAGGAGAAGACAGCAGCGGTTCTGTAGTTCCAGACAGGCCCAGAATAGAAGGCTGAGCACCCATAAGGCCACGACAGGGGCGCCTGGGAGCAGGAGCTGCTGAGAACAGTCACCTGTGGGCAGAAAGGGCTGGTGAGTAGGGCCGAGATCGCTACGCGTTGGCCTTTGTGGCTGTCCACGCTTGGCGTGGCCAGCAGCTGGGGCTGCAGCCCAGGCTCCCTACATTACCGCTGTGTCCCAGGCATCACCTGAACCTCTATGCACTGCCACTAAGCCCAGGGCCTATCTTGGAAGTGAATGTGTGAGACACAGGACCGTGACGGCCATGCTCACAGATTCCTTAGGGATACAGGGATGTCAGTGCCTGTAGATGTCTCAGGTGGTCTATGGGACCTCAGCCTCCAGGCGATGACCCTGCCTGCAGTGCTGGCCTAGTGGGGGATGTAGGAGGAGGCTGTTGGGTGAGGGGGAAGGGCAGGAAGTACATGTTGCCATGGAGACAGGAGAGCAGCATGACCTCTCCATCCTCTCCAGGGAAATTCCACAGCCCCTTGTGGGCCCCACACTGGTCCAGCCCAGCTCCCTGCATCTGAAGTCCCAGCCCCCAGGAGCCCCTCAGTCCAGGCGCCCACTCCAGCCCAGCCCCTCCTCCCCAAGTTCCCCACCCCCACCCCCAAGAGGGGAACCACATCTCAGTGCTCAGATTGGGCTCCATCTGTACCTGGGCCTTGGCTCAGGGCTCCCGCGCAACCACACCACGCAGGTGCAGCTCGCTCTCAGCAGCCACAATGGGCTGCCCGTTCTGCAGGTGGTAGTCGATGAGGTGGCTG